TCAGCTACTGGATGAAGGTTCTGGGATGGCAATTAAGGTGGTCATTAATCTCTTTATAGGGGAAAGGCATCAAAGGTGGCCTCTCCACTACTGCCCAGATTCTTAGTTGTTATCATCTTCGTGGGTCTCTGAACATTTTTCTAGTGCCAGACTTTCCTTTAAACCTATACTGGCTCCCTCTATTAAGGTATCTCTTTCTTGGTCTCATCTATTCCTCCCCTGATTCAGTCTTCCTGATCCATCTTGTTCTCCCCCATCTTCTCTCCTTTTCTGTTTCCATTCTTCCCTCCCTTCTCCTCCCGTGCTCCCAATTTGCTCAGGAGTTCATGTCCCTTTCCCCTTCTTTGGGGGACCATGTACTTCTCTCTTAGGGTCCTCCTAGTTTCCTAGCTTCTCTGGAGGTGTGGATTTTAGGCTGGTAGTCCTTTTCTCTATGTCTAATATTCATATATGAGTGAGTACATACAATGCTTGTCTTTCTGTGACTGGGTTATCTCACTCAGGATGGTTTCTTTCAGTTCCATCCATTTCCCTGTGAATTTCAGGATTCCATTTTTTTTTGCTGCTGAGTAGTACTCCATTGTGCAAATGTACCATATTTTCTTTATCCATTCTTCAGTTAATGGGCATCTAGGTTGCTTCCAGGTTCTGGTTATTACAAACAATGCTGCTATGAACACAGCTGAACATATGTTCTTGTTGTATGAGTGTGCTTCCTTTGGGTATATGCACAAGAGTGGAATTACAGGATCTTGAGGTAGACTGATTCCCATTTTTCTGAGAAACTACCATACTGATTTCCAAAGTAACTGCACGAGTTTACACTCTCACCAGCAATGAATGAGTGTTCCCCTTTCTCCACATCCTCTCCAGCATGAACTGTGATTGGTGCTTTTGGTTTTATCCATTATGACAGGATCAAGATGGTATCTAAGAGTTGTTTTGATTTGCATTTCCCTGATGGATAAGATTGTTGAACACTTTCTCAAGTGTCTCTTAGCCATTTTAGACTCCTCTATTGAGAATTCTCTATTTAGCTCTATACCCCACTTTTTATTTTTTTAATTTATTTTTATTTTTTTGTTATTTTTTCTTTTTTAAATTTAGGTTAGAAACAATCTTGTTTCACATGTCAATCCCAGCTCCCTCTCCCTCTCCTCTTCCCCCACCCTCCCCACCAGGTTCCCTGGTCCCTCACCCAATCTCCAATCCAATCCCCAAGGAGGGTGAGGCACTCCATGGTGGATCATTTCATCCAGGGCAGGGACTAGGCCCTCCCACAAGAGTCCCGGCTGAGAGAGCCTCCCATATTGTGGTATGGGCACTCAAAGTCTATTTGTACATCAGGGATAAATACTACCCGAGGCCCCATAGATTACCTAGGCCTCCTCACTGACACCCACATTCAAGGGGTCTGGGTCAGTCCCATGCTTTCCACACAGCCATCAGTCTGGAATCCAAGATCTCCCCCTTGTTCAGGTCAACTGTTTCTGTGGGTTAAACCAGCCCAGTCTTAACTCAGTTCTCTCTTTCTGACACTGGGTTTCGGGAGTTCAGTTAAGTGTTTGTCTGTGGGTAGCTGCCTTTGCTTTCATCAGTTGATGGATGAAGGTTCTGTTTCCCTGACTCTCTGGCAGTGGGATTGTATGCTGGCACTCCCCTGATTCATGTCTAAAATCCATAAATGAGTGAGTACATACCATGTTTCTCTTTTTGTGACTGGGTTACCTCACTCAGGATGGTTTCTTCTAGTGCCATCCATTTGCCTGCAACCATCTGGCCCTGGGCTTTCTTTGGTTGGGAGACTTTTGATGACTGCTTCTGTTTCATTAGGGTCTATAGGTGTATTTAAATTGCTTATCTAGTCTTGATTTAATTTTGATAAGCAATATCTATCCAGAAATTTGTCCATTTCTTTTAAATTTTCGAATTTTGAGGGGTACAGATTTTCTAAGTAAGATCTGATGATTCTCTGGATTTCCTCAGTTTCTGTTGTTATTTGCCCTCTTTCCTTTCTGATTTCGTTAATTTGCGTGTTCCCTCTCTGCCGTTTGGTAAGTTTGGATAAAGGTTTTGTCTATCTTGTTGATTTTCTTGAAGAAACAACTCTTATTTTTGTTTTTTAAAATTTTTTTATTTTAATTTTAAATAGCTTGTTATACATGTCAATCCCAGTTCCCTCTCCCTCCCCTAGTCCAGCACCTCCCCATCCCCCCAGCCTCCCACCCTATTGCCAATTCCTTCCACATAGGCGATATCTAGAGTCTGTCATTTCACTCAGGGTAGGGTCCAGGCACTCCCCTAAGAGTCCAGGCTGAGAGAGCATCCCTCTTTGTGCTATGGGCACATGATGTCTGTTTGTATTCCAGGGATAAACACTGATCCACTGCTCAGGGCCCCATAGGCTGCCCAGGCCTCCTCACTGACACTCATATCCGGGGTCTGGATCAGTCCCATGCTGGTATTCCAGCTGTTGGTCTGGGGCCCAAGAGCTCTCCCCTGTTCAGATCAGCTGTCTCTGCTGGTTTTGCCAGCCCATTCTTTGCCAGTTTGCTCATTGCTCCTCTCTCTCTGTCACTGGGTTCCTTGGGTTCAGTTCAGTGTTTAACTGTGGGTGTTTGCCTCTGCTTCCATCAGTCACTGGATGAGGGTTCTAGGATGGTTATAGACATCAAGTTCATTATCAGGAATGGGCATTGGAGGTGGTCTCTCCACTATTGCTTAGCTTGCCAATTGGTGTCATCCCTTTAGATCACTAGAGGTCACACTGGTGCCTGATCTGCCTTCTAGCCTATGATTCCCTCTTCCCCGTATTCTACCCACCCACTCAACCTTCCTGTTCCCCCATGACCTACTCTCTCTTCCTCTTCTCCCCCTCTCTTCTTCCCAGCTCCCACTTCCCCCACCCCTTGCCGTGTTCCCCATCTGTTCAAAGGATCTTGCCTCATTCCTCTTCTCTTGGGTAATATGCATATCTTTTAGGGAAGAACGAACTCTTTGTTACATTGATTCTTTGTATTGTTTTCCCAGTTTCTAATTTATTGATTTCAGCCCTCAATTTTATTATTTCCTGGCATCTACTCCTCCTGGGTGAGTTTGCTTCTTTGTGTTCTAGAGCTTTCAGCTGTGCTGTTAATTCTATAGTGTGACTATTCTCCAGTCTCTTCATGTGGGCACTTAGTGCTCTGAACTTTCCTCTTAGCAGTGCTTTCAAATATGTTGTGTCTTCATTCTCATTGAATTCTTGGAAGTCTTTAATTTCTTTTTTATTTCTTCCTTGATCCAGGTATAGTGCAATTGTGTGTGCTCAATTTCCATGAGTTTGTAGGGTTTATGCAATTTGTGTTGTTGAATTCTGATTTTAAAGCAAGGTGGTCTGATAAAATACCTGGGGTTGTTTCATTTTTTTGTATCGGTTGAGGTTTGATATGTTGCCAAGTTTGTGGTAGATTTTATAGAAGGTTCCAGGTGGCATTAAGAAGAAAGTATATTCTTTTGTGTTTGGATGAAATGTTCTATAGATATCTGTTAAATCAAATTGGGTCAAAACTTCTGTTAGTTCCTTTATCTCTTTGTTAAGTTTCTGTCATGTGGTCCTGTGTAGTGGTGAGAGTGGGGTGTTGAAGTCTCCCACTATAAGCTTGTGAGGTTTTATGTGTGCCTTGAGCTTTAGCAATGCTTCGTTTATGAATGTGGATGCCTTTGTATTTGGGGCATAGATGTTCAGAATTGGGACTTTATCTTGATGGACTTTGTTGTGAAGAATATGAAATGACCTTCTTCATCTCTTCTGACTGATTTTAGTTGGAGTTTAATTTGTTAGATATTAGGATTGCTACACCAACTTGTTTCTTGGGTCCATTTGATTGGACCCTTTGCTCTGTCTTTGAAGTTCAGGTATGTTTCTTGTACACAGCAGAAGGTTGGATTCTGTCTCTGTATCCATTCTGTTAGCCTGTGTCTTTTATAGATGAGTTAAGACCATTGATATTGAGCGATATTAATGATCACTGATTGTCAATTATTGTTTGCTTTTAGCTTGTTGTTGTTATTGGTATTGTGTGTGGATTTCCTTCCCTGTTTCTTTCTTTTGGCTTTCGGTATAGTAGGATTATTTATTGCCTATATTTTTGTGAGGGTAGTTAACTTTGTTGGGTTATTGTTTCCTTCCAGAACTTTCTGTAGGGCTGGATTTGTGGATTTGTATTGTTTAAATAGGGTTTTGTTATGGAATATCTTGTTTTCTCCATGTATAGTGATGGAAAGCTTTGCCGGTTATAGTAGTCTGGGTTGGCATCCATGTTGTCTTATTGTTTGTAGAACATCTATCCAGGATCTTCTGGCTTTCAGGATTTCCATTGAGAAATTGTGTGTGACTCTGATAGGTCTGCTTGTATATGTTACTTGGCCTGTTTTTCTCTGTTATTAATATTTTTCTTTATTCTGTAAGATTGAGTATTATGTGCCAAGGTGACTTTTTTGTGGTCCACTCTATTTGGTGTTCTGCATGCTTCTTGTACTTTCATAGGCATATCCTTCTTTAGTTTGGAAAAGTTTTCTTCTGTGATTTTGGTGAAGATGTTTTCTGTACCCGTGAGCTGTATTTCTTTGCCTTCTATACCTATATTCTTAGGTTTGGCCTTTTCATGGTGTCCCATATTTCTTAGATATTTTTTGTTAGGGATTTGTTGGAGTTAAGATTTTCTTTGGTTGATGAATCTGTTTCCTCTGGTGAATCTTCAACACCTGAGATTCTCTCTTCCATCTCTTGCATTCTATTGGCTGTACTTACATCTGTAGTTCCTGATCATTTAGCCAGGTTTTCTATTTCCAGCATTACCTCCTTCCGTGTTTTCTTTATTGTTTCAATTTCAGCTTACACACTTTGTACTTTTTGAATTGTTTCCCTCAGTTGTTTGGTTGTTTTTTCTTGGCTTTCCTCACTTTCTTTAAGAGATTTGTTGATTTCTTGTATTTTTTGGTTTGTTTTTTCCCATTTCTTTAAGGGATTTTCTCATTTCTTCTTTGAGGGTCTCTATCATCTTCATAAAGTTGTTTTTAAGGTCATTTACTTCTCCTTCATCTATGTTGGTATGTTCAAGTCTTGTTTGTATAGAGTCCTTGGATTCCGGTGGTGTAATATTGGTCTTTCTATTGTTGAATGTATTCTTATACTGCCATCTTCCCATCCCTTCTTCCAATGGGTGCAGGTGGGGTCTCTCTCTCCTCTCACCTCCTAGTGGGTGTAGGTGGGACAATCCTTCGATGTCAGCAACTCTGAATGGTCCAAGCTCTCTTGAAGTTCTTAAGTAGAGTGTGTAGGGGCACCAAGACTCAAGCAGAGAGAGTAGGAGTGCTAAGACTGCAATGAGGTTATGATCCAGATGGTCTGGCACTCTGGGGTGGGTCCACTACCCTCAGAGCCCACCCAGGAAGTTCCAAGGAGAGGATGGGGGGAGTTGGGCCATAGTGCTTCCCACACTCACCTCAAGCAGAGGGTGTATGGGGCCCAAGACTGTGATGAGGGCAGGCTCCAGATGGTTCTGTGTGCTGGGGCAAGACCACTACATGCAGAGCCAGCTCAGGAAGTTCCTAGGACAGGACTAAGGGAGTTGGGTCTGAGCAGGCCCTACCCTCACCTCAAGCAGAGAGCGATGATCTGAATATTTTACAATAGTACAATATACAAAATCACTGGGCACCTACATCATGCAACAGCATTAATATCTCATATTCCAAACACATGTTGTACCCTGGGCTGGGTATCAGTGATGGTTGAACTTCTGAATATCTATGACACCATAATATCATGGGCAATCTAAATAATGAAGTGCTCATAGAGGTTTCCATATGAGGAACCTGAATTATGACATGGGAGTGTTCGAGCTGGCATGGGAAGTGAGTGACATATAGACATTAAAGAGCTATTATTCCCATCAAGAAGAATTCTGCCCCCTCCAAACATAAACAGTGAGGAAGCAAGGACAACTCTGAAGGTTGTTCTGTAGACATGGAAGTCGATGGTGATATGAAGGAAATTGGGCATCTCATACAGGGGCTGCTCCTCAGAGGAAACCCACACCCAGAAGCAAGAGAACTGATGAGGGATGTCCTTCTATGTGCTGCGAATATGTGTTGCTTTCATTGGATGATGAATAATGCTGATTTGGCCAATGGCCAGGCATAATAAAGCCAAGTGAGAAATTCAAACAGAGATAGGGAGAGACAGAGAGTGGAGTCAGGAAGGTGCCAGGTAGCCACCGGGGAAGCCAGATGTGGGGCCACAAGCCACAAGCTTCATGGTAAAATACAGAATAGAAGAAGTAGGTTAATTTAATTGTGAGAGCTAGTTAGAAATATGCCTGATTCATTGGCCAGACAATTAAATTAATGTTAAGCTTCTGGGGGGTTAGTTTGCGAAGAAAAGACCTCCATTCACCAAGAACAGCTGTGTTTCCTCTCCCATCTCCAAGTGTTCTCTTCTCTGCCCACCCCCAAGGATAAGCCTCCACGCGAGATGTAGTCAGGAGCTCACTGTTTTTTTGCTGTAGATTTCTGCCCTACATCATTAACCTGGGTATTTATGAAGTATCCCAGGCTGGTTAGCAGAATGTCCGTGGTGATAACCTCACAGTGGTGTCCATGCGAATACATGGAGTGCTCGAAGGAAACTATATGGCGCAGCTGCAAAGGGGAAGCGCCTGCCCTCAGGCCTCCTCAACCGGAAGGGGCCAGGAAAGGAAGGGAGCCACTAGTTCTGTCATCTGCTGCCTTTTGACCCTCGCTGCATTGAGGACACATCAGGTAGATGTGAGTTGCATTGGGGGAGGTGACATTTCTGTGAGAAGTGACTTCGGGATTTGGAGTTTGTCCAAGTCAAATTAGGAGGGAGTTGAGACCCAGCTGCTCTCATTTCCCCTTTCTGTGTGGATGCAGATTTTTCACCAAACTGATGGGTGGTGCTTGGCCCCAAAGACCCGAACACCTTGTCTATGTTGTCTGTTCCTAAGCACGGTTGGAGCTCCTGGGAAGAGATACCATGATCTTCACGTCCACAGCCATGCTGTGTCTGGGTAAGATATGAAGATGGATCGGAGATACTATTGTTTTAGAGAGGCTTGACCTCATAGCCCAGCACTGACTGGATTTTTGGAAAGCCCAGGGTGTAAGGATTCAGGGATTATGCTGGCCAGCCCCTGTCACCTGGCAGAATGCACTCAGACAGTTCCTTGGTCAGTCCAGGGTTCCATGATTGCATAGTCTGCATGCAGGACCTCTTTAAAAGAAAGACCCCCACCCACTTAGCTCTCCCTTTTCTTGCTCCTCAGTTTCCCCGTGGTTCCCCTGGGGCAGACAGGACTTTTCCAGTCTCTTCTCTTCTGTCCTCTCTGTCTGTATCTCTTTACCTCTTTTCTCTTCCCTCCCACTTCCTTTCTAATAAAACTTCCTACTTAGGTTCTGTCTGCCTGGCATGTCTGTCCCCTCTACCTCGGTCACCCTCCTCTGCCATGGAATCTGCCAAGGTCCCCCTCACGCTTTGTCCTAACACAGGGGGGCTCAGGAGTCTCTATGGATAGAAGGGTCTGCTCAGTGAGGGATAAACTCACAGGGAACTCTCTTTCAGGACTGACTGTGGGGTTCACTTCTCCAGCGCTGGCAGGTGAGTGTCCTCTGCTGTCTTGGATCTTTACATCTTACTCAGAAGGAGGGGCAGGCTCAAGGATGAGCCGTGGCATGAACAACAGCAAGGTGAACTTTTCCTGCGGGAACCAGGAGGGTGCTGAGACTGAACGGTGAGGACTGAGCCTCTGATTTCCCAGTAAGGATCCATTCCCAATCTACCCTCAGAGCTCTGCCAGGCTTTGTGGTCCTCAGAGGTATGAAAGGGGCTATCTAATGTGAGGCAACCCAAAGGGCTCACAGGTACCACACATATAAAAACAGAAGCCCGGATCTCTGGTGCAAACAGAGTCCACTGGAGGCTGGGAACAAGACTGAACGCCTCCATTGAAGAGTATCATTGATGTATGCTCTTATGGAAATCGTGAAGGTTTATCAGAACACAGTGTCCTTCCTGCAGCTGGTGGTGGCACATAAAACTATATTTAGGAAGAGAAAAAAAGTGATCCCCATTCACAGCTCATCACAGTGAGACTGTAAATCCACTAACATATTCTCTCCATCTCTCCTAGGAGACCCCTACAGCAAACCTAGATTGTCAGTCTTGGACAGCCCTGTTGTGAATTCAGGAGATTATGTGACCCTTCAGTGTATCTCATGGCAGAGATATGATGGGTTTATTTTGACCAAAGAAGGAGACCCCATGTTCTCCAGAACCCTGGAGTCACAGTATATTTTCACTGGGCATTTGCAAGCTATGTTTTCTGTGGGTCCCATGACCCCCAGCAACAGGGGGACATTCAAATGCTACGGCTACTACAAAAGAGATCCACAGAAGTGGTCCATCCCAAGTGACCCCCTGGAAATACACGTATCAGGTGAGGCAGATCCATAAATGACCCAGTCATTTATCGAGACCCTACACTATATGCCAGAAGCTCTGCTGTCAAGGGAATTGTTCGATAAGTGGTACTTCTTGCTCCCAAGTCAGATTTCCAGAGTGTGTAGCTCATTAACACTTCTGCGGCATGACGGGTGTTGGCATATTACTTGGCAGGAACGGGCTCAACCCCCAGGATATGTTCCCCAAGGGCTGGCTAGGAATCACTCTCTCCTGTGGGAACCTGACCTTGTGTTCTTTGGGCATTCTCTATGATGGAACTGCTCTATTCCATGAGGAGGGATGCGACTTCTCCCAGTGCCTTGTCTGACAGCCTCATGCTGCCCTCACTTAAGCTGATTTCCCTGCAAGCTTTTAGCTGCCTAATAGGGGCCATTACAGAAAATCAGTCTGCACGGCCTTTCCCCCATGTTGTCAGCACCAGTGACACACCGGACTTCTTGATTGCAGGCTAAGAGCTCACTGGGTCCAACCGGGCACCCAAATCTAGCATACACTCAGTGGGGGGAGCCAAAGAGATGTGATAAGGGATGTGACATACAGATGGAGATAGGGGAGGGAGCAAAAGGAAGAGGCCAGAGAAAATAGAGACAAAATCTTTTATTATTATTATTTTAATTTTAAATAGCTTGTTTTACATGTCAATCCCAGTTCCGTCTACCTCCCCTCCTCCTGCACCCCCCATCCCACCCAGCCTAAAACCCTATTGCCAATTCCTTCCATATAGAGGATATCTAGAGTCTGTCATTTCACTCTGGGTAGGCTCCAGGCACTCCGCTAAGACTCCAGGATGAGAGAGCATCCCTCTTGGTGCTATGGACACACAATGTCTGTTTGTATTCCAGGGATAGACACTGATCCACTGCTCAGGGCCCCATAGGTTGCCCAGGCCTCCTCACTGACACTCACATTCAGGGGGTCTGGAACAGTCCCATGCTGGCCTTCTAGCTGTCGGTCTGGGGTCCAAGAGCTCTCCCCTGTTCAGATCAGCTGTCTCTGCTGGTTTTGCCAGCCCATTCTTTGCCAGTTTGCTCATCGCTTCTCTCTCTCTGTCACTGGGTTCCTTGGGTTCAGTTCAGTGTTTAACTGTGGGTGTTTGCCTCTGCTTCCATCAGTCACTGGATGAAGGCTCCCAGATGGATATAGACATCAAGTTCATTATCAGGAATGGGCATTCAAGGTGGTCTCTCCACTATTGCTTAGCTTGCCAATTGGTGTCATCCCTTTAGATCACTAGAGGTCACACTGGTGCCTGATCTGTCTTCTAACCTATGATTCCCTCTTCCCCCTATTCAACCCCCCCACTCAACCTTCCTGTTCCCCCATGACCTACTCTCTCTTCCTCTTCTCCCCCTCTCTTCTTCCCAGGTCCCACTCCCCCCCACCCCTCGCCATGTTCCCCATCTGTTCAAAGGATCTTGCCTCATTCCTCTTCTCTTGGGTACCATGCATATCTTTTAGGTTCTTTCCTGTTTCCCAGACTCTCTATCAGTGGAAGTGCAGACTGGCACTCTCCTGATCCATGTTTAAAATCCATATATGAGTGAGTACATACCATGTTTGTCTTTTTGTGACTGGGTTACCTCACTCAGGTTGGTTTCTTCCAGTGCTATCCATTTACCTGCGAATTTCAAGATTCCATTGTTTTTTTCTGCTGACTAATACTCCATTGTGTAAATGTACCATACTTTCTCTATCCACTCTTCAGTTGAGGGGCATCTAGGTTGCTTCCAGGTTCTGGCTATTACAATTAATGCTGCTATGAACATAGTGGGGCAGATGCCCTTGTTGTATGAATTTGCCTCTTTTGGATATATGCCTAAGAGTGCAATTGCTGGGTCTTATGGTAGATTGATTCCCATTTTCCTGAGGAATCTCCATACTCCTTTCCAAAGTGGCTGTACGAGTTGGCCCTCCCACCAGCAGTGGAGGAGTGTTCCCCTCTCTCCGCATCCTTTCCAACATAAATTGTCTTCGGTGTTTTTGATTTTAGACATTCTGACAGGAGTAAGATGGTATCTCAGAGTTGTTTTGATTTGCATTTCCCTGATGGCTAAGGATGTTGGGCACTTTCTTAAGTGTCTCTTGGCCATTTTAGCCTCCTCTATTGAGAATTCTCTATTTAGATCTGTACCCTACCTTTTAATTGGATCCTTTGGTGTTTTGGAGACTTGCTTCTTGAGTTCTTTGTAAATTTTGGAGATTAGCCCTCTGTCAGATGTGGGGTTAGTGAATATCTTTTCCCATTCCGTGGACTGCCTTTTTGTCTTGTTGACTGTGTCCTTTGCCTTACAGAAGCTTTTTAGTTTCAGGAGGTCCCATTTGTTAATTGTCGATCTCAGTATCTGTGCCACTGGTGTTATGTTCAGGAAGTGGTCTCCTGTACCAACTCATTGAAGAATATCTCCCACTTTCTCTTCTAAATTTTCAGTGTGGCTGGATTTATGTTGAGATCTTTGATCCAGGTCTATCTGCAGTCTTCTGCATACCAGTACCCAGTTATGCCAGCACTATTTGTTGAAGATGCTTTCTTTTTTCCATTGTATAACTTTAGCTTCTTTGTCAAAAATCAAGTGTTCATTGGTGTGTCGGTTAAAATCAGGGTTTTCAATTCAGTTCCATTTGTCTACCTGCCTATTTTTGTGCCAATACCAAGCTGTTTTCAGGACTACAGCTCTATAATAGAGCTTGAAGTCAGGTATGGTGATGCCTCCTGAAATTCCTTTATTGTATATGGTTGTTTTGGCTATCCTGGGCCTTTTGTTTTTCCATATAAAGTTGATTATTGTTCTTTCCAGGTCCGTGAAGAATTATGCTGGAATTTTGATAGGGATTGCATTGGATCTGTAGACTGCTTTTGGCAAGATTGCCATTTTTATTATGTTGATCCTACCAATGCAAGAGCATGGGAGATCTTTCCATTTTCTGGTATCCTCTTTTATTTCTTTCTTTAAAGGCTCAAAGTTCTTGATATACAGGTCTTTCACTTCCTTGGTTAACATTATCCCCAGATATTTGATGCTGTTTATGGCTATTGTAAAGGGTGATGTTTCTCTGATTTCTTTCTCAGTCACTTCATTGTCTGTATATAATAGGGCCACTGATTTTTTTGAGTTTACCTTGTATCCTGCCACTTTGCTGAAGGTGTTTATCAGCTCTAGGAGTTCCCTTGAAGAGTTTTTCAGGTCATTTATGTAAGCTATCATATCATCTGCAAATATTGAAAGTTTGACTTATTCTTTTCCTATTTGTATCCCGTGGATCTCCTTTTGCTGTCTTATTGCTGTAGCTAGGACTTCAAGTACAATATTGAAGAGATATGGAGAGAGTGGACAGCCTTGTCTTGTTCCTGATTTTAGAGGAATTGCTTTGAGTTTCTCTCCACTTAGTTTGATGTTAGCTGTTGGTTTACTGTATATTGCTTTTATTATGTTCAGGTATGTTCCCGTTATCCCTCATCTCTCTAGGACCTTTATCATGAAGGGGTGCTGGATTTTGTCAAAGGCTTTTTCAGCATCTAGTGAGATGATCATGTGTTTTTTCTTTCGCAGTTTGTTTATATGGTGGATTACATTGATAGATTTTCTAATGTTGAATCATCCCTGCATTCCTGGGATGAAGCCTACTTGATCATGGTGGATGATTTTTCTGATGTGTTCTTGAATCTGGTTTGTGAGCATTTTGTTGAGTATTTTTGCATTGATGTTCATGAGGGAAATTGGTGTATAGTTCTCTTTTTTAGTTGTGTCTTTGTGTGGCTTGGGAATGAAGGTAATTGTATCCTTGTAAAAAGAGTTTGGCAGTGAGCCTCCTGCTTCTATTGTGTGGAATACTTTGAGGAGTATTGGAATGAGCTCTTCTTTGAATTTCTGGCAGAATTCTGCACTGAAGCCATCTGGGCCTGAGCTTTTTTTTTGTTTGGGAGTCTTTTGATGACTGCTTGTTATTCATTAGGGGTTATAGGTCTGTTTAGATTGTTTATCTGTTCTTGATTTAGTTTTGGCAAGTGATATCTATCCAGGAAATTGCCCATTTTCTTTAAATTTTCGAATTTTGTGGAGTACGGATTTCCAAAGTATGCCCTGATGCTTCTCTGGATTCTCTCAGAGTCCATTGTTATGCCTCCTTTTTCATTTCTGATTTTGTTAATTAGCATACTTTCTCTCTGTCTTTCGGTTAGTTTGGTTTGTCTATTTTGTTGATTTTCTCAAAGAACTAACTCTTTGTTTCATTGATTTTTCTCATTGTTTTCCTGATTTGTACTTGATTGATTTCAGCCCTCAATTTGATTATTTCCTGGCGTCTGCTCCTCCTGGGTGAGTTTGCTTCTTTTTGTTCTAGAGCATTCAGCTGTCTATTAATTCTCTAGTATGACTGTTATTCATGTGGACACTTAGTGCTATGAACTCTCCTCTCAGCACTGTTTTCAAAGTGTCCCATAAGTTTGCATATGTTGTGTCTTCATTCTCATTTAATTCCAGGAAGTCTTTAATTTCTTTTTTTATTTGTTCCTTTACCCAGGGATGGTGCAATTGTGCATTGTTAAATTTCCATGAGTTTGCAGAGTTTGTGCGATTTGTGTTATTGTTGAATTCTAATTTTAACGCATCGTGGTCTGATAAGATACAGGGGGTTATTCCAATTTTTTTGTATCTGTGGAGATTTGCTATGTTTCCTATTATGTGGACAATTTTAGAGAAGGTTTCATGTGGCGCCGAGAAGAAGGTATATCCCTTTGTGTTTGGGTGGAATGTTCTATAGATGTCTGTTAAATCCAGTTGGGTCATAACTTCTATTATTTCTTTTGTTTCTTTCTTAAGTTTCTGTCTGGAGGTCCTGTCTAGCGGTGAGTGTGGAGTGTTGAAGCCTCCTGCTATTAGTGTGTGAGATTTTATGTGCTTTTGAGCTTTAGTAATGTTTCTGTCACGAATATAGGTGCTTTTGTATTTGGGGTGTAGATGTTTAAAATTGAGACTT